CATTACTTGAAATCTCTATTTCTATACCATCATTTTCTCTCTGTGCCAACTCATTCAAAGAACCTCCTTTGAACATAAAGATTGGTAAGTTTGAATTCCTGTCAAGTGTGCCTTTCTACCATAGAAATATGGGGGAAAAAAGTACATCCTGCATGTCAGATCTCAGGGAGCTGAGCAGTCCCAATTCCACTTCAGATAAAGAAGCACAGATGTGTTTAACGTAGGTATAGAAGCAGCCCCCAAAGCTCCAGGGTGTCTTCATATATTTGAAGTTAAGAGTTTGTTGATAAGGTTGTTCAGAGATTCAGGAGAAATACTAAAGTTTAGTATTGGTTTCTGAGTCTAAAGCCTTTGGGAATATATATAGTTTAAACACAGGTGTAGGAGCATATCTTTAGACCCCATGGGTCTGTCATTGGGCAGCCTAGTTCACTCCGGAATCTCACGTACTTCACCAAGTGACAGTAGAAAACACTCTGAATGACTGGAAGTGATCAATAGCTTCTTTAAAGTAAAATTTGGCAAAGTAACAATTCATCAAGTGATTATTGTTTAACTCAAATGATACCTACTGTGTAAAGGTTGTTGTCATGTGACATTCACAGAGTTAACTGTTCTGCAGTACTCATGTGAACCATGGGGCCTTTTCTATCTTCGGTCTGACATAACTTTGTATCACTCCAGGATAATCCCATTAAAATAAATTGTGTTTGACTGATAAATAGCTAAATTAAATCAGACCAAGAGGTGTATGGACACTTTGATGGCTGCCAACAACATTCCCAGTACTGGTAATATTTTCAAGAATGTACATGTATGCCTGCCAAGACATGTCCTTGCTGCTGTTCTTCCCTTTATCTGGCAATATTATGGACCTTGGACTCTGCTAGCTCCATACAATCTGCTACCTGAAATATCAGTGCAATTGCTTTTATGGTTCAGAAGTAATCATGCAAATACATATTATTCCCACTTGCTACTTAGAGCGGACATGGTTAAACATGACGTGGGAAGTAAACATCATTGGGTTTATTTCTTTTAAAGAGTGCAAATGTTCTGTGTATATTTATAAGAATCTGTCAGTTCTATGTCTTTTTTTTACAAAGTCACTACATAAGGGGCTTGGCGTAGTCGAGAATTCCTTCTATTTATGCCTTTTATGGTAATTTTTAGGGATTCTATCTAATTTTTTTTTTTTCTGGAGTCACAGTCAGGACTAAATTTTAAATCAGCTCAGATAGATACAGAATAGAATCAAGCTAAAAGAACTTACATTATTCCTTAAATGGGAGTTGTAACTTTATTACAATATTCCTTGGTTCAGCTGCCAAGTATGCAGTTGTAGAGACGTATTTCAATGAAAATATTGTATAAAAATTATATTTTCGATGGGTAATATGCTCTCTGAGGCTGTTTATCCTATGCCAGACTGCTCTAGCAATAAAGCACCTCTTTAGAAAATTGTTTACTGGAAGATCAACAGAAATCTCTTTGATTTTAAACAGAAGAGAACAACTGGTGATTGCAATAGCACTATTGGAAAATGCTGATGTTTTAATCAAAACTATTACAGTAGCTTGTTCTGTATTGACTGCAAAGGTAGCCCTACTTTCTGCACCTAAACATAAAAACAGGCACTTTTTAAAGGAACAACAGGATTGGAATCAAACTCTGTAGAAAGTAATCTCTGAAATTTATACAACTAACTGAGAAGTACTACCTTTTTTCCCTCTGTATAAATAATGCTAATGATTTCCTGGATTAGCACACTAAACTCCCAGTGTGGTTAATTAGTCTTACATTTCTCTATTTTTATTTAGTTTTCCATAATTAGGAATGAATTTCCTAATCCTTGAGGAAAGAAATGCTTCCTTAAGTATAAATAAAGTATAAGAAATTTTCTTTCTTCCCATCTTAACCTTTTCAACATGTACCAAAGCAGTCTGCATT